GAGAATTGCAGGGCTTTCATCTTTTGGCTGCTGGTGGCACAGAAGTGACACGGGCCAGATTACCTGGGCACACCCACATTGGTGCTTGTGATCCAATGAAATCCGTAAGGAAGTGAAAGGCAAAATCCTCTTTCTCCAAGATTTTTTATATAATATCAAATCGTTCTCTTCTCCCCGAAGATCTCACAGGGAGTTTTATTCCTCCAGTTTCCTCTGACTGCAGAAGGGAGTTTCTCATTCCCAGGATCAAGTCTGCTCATTATCTAATTGCTGATTAACATCTAATTCTGCATCCTGGAGCTGCAGGCTGGTCCCACGTGAGCAGTTGTGAGCACTGGGCAAAGAGCCAGGGCCTGCTCCTGCCTCTCCTGGACCAAGGAAAATCGTGCCCCTGGCACCCCCAATTCTCTGTGTGGAATTTAAGGGCTTGCCTGGGTAAGGAATCAGCTGGAAAAATGGGAAAACCATCATTCCTGTGCAGAGCCCTCTGCACCTTCTGCCTCAGCACTGCTTTAATGTGGACTGAAACCCCAGCACCCCTGGAGCTGAACATCCTTTGGAGTGAAAGTTCCTACATGGAAGTTCTTTCCACATCACTGGAGGAGCTTTGGGTCACTTTTGCTGTTCCATCTTTGTCTTGGAGCAGCCTGATTTCCCGGAGGGAATCCCTGCTCATGGCCAGAGTGGATGGAACGAGATCTTTTAGGTCCCTTCCAACCCAAAACATTCCAGGATTCTGTGATAAAGCAAAGCCAGCCCTGAACACCCCAATCCTGCTGTGGTGGAGAGAACCAGCTCCACGTGGGAATGACAGAAAGGTGACAGAGGGAAGCAGGAATGGGAATGACCAGGAATGAGTTCATTCTCCAGCCCCAGTGGAGGCATGAAGGAGATCTGAGACCAGAATTTTTCCACGCTTTGATGAGTCCTAATTATGGTATTGAAGCTGCTGCTTCTGGAGGCAGTTTTCCAGCTCTTCACCCTACTTTAGATGCCAGGAATTCTTTCTGATCCTGTCTAAAATCCTCTTTGCTGCTGTGTGAACCCCAGCACAAAAAGTGGGAAGAACAAACAGCCTGAGCCTTCCATTTGGAGGATCTGGAAGCTTCTCATCCAGTTTACATTTCCCAGTGCAATGTGTAGGATTTTTTCCATGGAGTGCAGAATTTCAACAAGGCTTTGTTTCACATTTTTTCCCAAAGTTTGACACGTGTTAAACTTGTGATCCAGCACATCTTCTTTTTCCTGCCAGATTGCTGGAGGGAGATTCCCTCATCCCATATTTGTGCCATATTAAGTGGAGAGCTTTGTGCTTGTCCTTCCTAAATTACACCCTCTTTTCTCAACCTACCACTTAAATTAACTGGAATCACCCAGAATTCTCCTGTTTGCAGATTCTCTCAGCTCATCACCCGTGAGCTCAGTGAATTTATTGCCTAATGCATCATCCAAACCAGCAATTAAAACTTTGCATCATCCCAGAGCCAAGAGGAGCCTTTTAATGGATCGTTCCAGCCTGACAGCAAATTGCTGGCTGTGATTTACTCATGATTTCATGATTTTTGAGTTTTCTTGGTTTTGCTTCTGAGCCCATCACGTGTAAATGTGCCAAAAGCTTTATTGAGGCTGAGCTGTGTGACAGGTACCACTTTTACCCTCACAGATTTTGTTATCATGTCACAGGGAAGGATGTCACCCAGCTGTCACAAAATTCTTGCTAATCATCCCTGCCTCCTTGATAGCCCCTACACAGTTGTTTGATGATTTATTTTAGAGCTTTTCTCCCAGTCTGGGTTGGCTGCTCTGTGTGTCCCTAGAGAGTACCCAATGCCCTTTATGATAATGGATTATTTCCACATTTCTTCGTGGAAAAAGGCTTTGGATGTGGCACTAAGTGCTCTGGTCTGGTTGACAAGGTGGGGATTGGTCACAGGTTGGACTCAATGATCTTGGAGGTCTTTTCCAGCTTAAATGAGTCTGTGATTTGTTGATACCCAGTCTCCCAAAACACCCAGATTTCCCTGTTGCACAGAAACAGGAGCAGGAGAAACAGGCTGGGTTGGGTAGCTGTGATGGATTTCCTTTCCTGATTTTCCTGGACACCACTTCGGCTGACAATCCTCACTGATTTGCATATTTATGTCGAAAGCACTAATTTTATTCACTTTTGATGTGTTAATTAGTTCATCTCATTAATATCTGTGGCAGCAAAGTGGTTCTTGCTCTTGTGTTTGATGTGGTTGTGTCTCCACACCTGTTTTCCCTCTTACTCCACACGTGGAAGCACAAACACAACTCCTGAGTCTGCAAGGGCAGCTCCAAGTTGTGGGATGGGAAAACAAATCCTACACTGAAGCTGCAAGAATCACCTGGAATTCTTCTCCCAGACACCTCAGCCTGGAGAGCACCAGCACCCAGACCTCACACTGGAAAAGGGAAATGGGACTGACTCAATCCATGGAGAAAAAAAGGAGATTTAGGCTTTGCCTTTATCTTCCACCTGCACCTTCCCCCAGCCCAGGGAAGGGAGGAACCAGTGTGGAAAATGAGCTGTAACCTCATAATCAGCCCATTCCTCACCTCCAATCAAGAAGGAGAGTTTTAAATTGTCCCTCTTCCTTCTTTATTTGAAAGAGTTCCAGCGATTTTCCACTCAGAGGATCAGCACTGATGAAGTCCATCCAGAATTCCCTCCTCCAGATTTACTTTTCCATGACCTTCAGCTTCTACAATCAGAAGCTTTCAGACCAGGAACTAGGTGGGTGGACAAGACAAGTAAATCCTGTTAAACACAATCCTTTCACCTCCAAAGAATCAGTTGGAATAATCCTGCCCAATTCAGCTGCTTTGGCATCCAGAAATTTCAGGAGAATAAAAGGTTCCTCTGAATTTGTAGACAATTCCAGGAAACCACTCTCATTTGACCTTCTGGAAGCACTTAAGAGTGAAAAGTGGGGGAAGAGCTGGGAATAAGGGTCTGCAAAAGATCTGGATAAGGTTTGTTCTCCCTCCTGAACTGTGTCCATCCTGGACTTATCTCAACCCTCCACTTGTTCCTTCCTCTCCAGATATCTCCCATCAAGTTTTTTGCTTTCTCATGTCCAGCAAAACTAGTTGAGATATAAATTGCTCCTTCTATTTCCTCTTTCTCCTGCCGGTATGACAGGTGGTAAAACAGTAACAGGTTTGGCCTGCAGCCCAAATTTCTTGGAGTTTTTTTAAAGCACTTAAGGTCCTGCAGGGAAAAACTGTGCAGGGTATGGAGGATTTGCTCCTGGAGGATTTGCTCCTGGGATTGGGATGCAGCACAGCCACCACAGCCCTAGCAGTGCCTGCCCTGAATGGCTGAGCATCTCTTCCTTATTTTGGCTTAAAAACTTGTTCTTCCCCTTCTCCATCCTAATTTTCCTTCCCTTTTGAGGTTGTCTGTGGTGAGAGAAAATTATCAGCAGGTTCTGCTGTAAATTTGGTCTTTTGACATCTGTCATCTCCAGGCACAGCTCACCAATCTGTTCAGTGGGGTGGCAGTGTCCTCTTCTCCCTGCCTATCACTGTGGTGTCACCTCTTTCATTTCCTTTGTTTCCCCTCTATCCATTAAGCAAAATATTTAAAAGCAGTCACCAGATCCAGAGCTCACAGCACAAAACATGGAGTTGATGTGGAATCTTTCATCCTCCTGGAAAAGCAGTGGCTCTGAGATCCAGGCCTCAAAAATCCACATCCTTCCACATGTGCAACCAAAACCCAGCAGAGTTCCAGGGCCGTGCTTCAGAAAAAGCAAAGATCTTGTTTAACCATCAAATACAACAACAAAAAAAAAATCAAAAAAAATCAACCAACACCCTTCAATTGTTTGGACCAGCTCTGGTTTCTCCCAGGACACAGCTGAGCTAGGGATGCTGCCAGCTTTTCTTTTTTTTTTTTTTTTTTTTTTTTAATCCTTTTTTATTTTTTCTGATGTGTTTTCCAGGAATGGGAACTAGCAGCCGGGGCTGTGACCCAAGAAGCTCTGAGCTGTTTGTGTGAGTCCCTGGCTGGCTGCCCTTCCTTCTTCTCTGTGACACCCCCAAGCCTCCTACAGAGCTTTTCTGTCTCCCCTCAGCTGCAGCTCCCGCAGGGGAAGAGGAGGGAGCAGAGAGCATGGAGGGCAAAACCAAACAAAGCTCAACACAATCCATGGTTTCTCTGCCAGGAACGTGGCCTCTCACAATCTCTGAATGACAGGGGTTGGCCACAGCTGTGTGGGGTTGTTTTGGCCCTGGAGAAGAAAGAGGGGAATAGATATGGGGATGTCTTTTCCAGCTGGATGAGGTCCATGAGGAGGCAGTGGGAGAAAAACTCCCAGCCCAGCAGGCTGTCCCCATTTCTTCCTTTCTCCCTCCCACCTTCCCACTGTTTTTCCTCTCTCAGCCACATATTTCCCTCTCTGCATTTCCCCCCTTTTCTCTGATGAGAGAAGCTCATTTCAAAATGGAAATGGGAGGAAAGAGCCCAAGGAGCCAGAAATTGCTCCCCACTGAGGCTGGAGAAATGTCCACAAAACTGCCACAAATCAGCTTTACTTCCACCTGCTTGTTTATAAAGAGATGTTTGAAACCCAGGCTCACTGTGAACAAATTCACAGATCTGCCCTGTGCTGACACAACTGTGGAGCCATTTCCCTGTGTTCCAGGCAGGGTGGGATGTTATTCCTCACAGAGCTTTGAAAGTAAGAGGCAAAACTATGCCTTCAGGGATCTCCTCGGAGCAATAATGATTTGAAGCTTGAACATGTCAAAAAGGCCATTTTCTGTACGTTTTCTTAGGTGAGTTGGATGTCTGGGGACACTTCGGATTCAAGTAGGCTCAGGAAATCGATGGGAGTTCAGCACCTGACTTAGCCAGGCTCTCTCAAAAATCCCAGGGGAAGCTCAACCGCAAAACACGAATCTTTGAGAGTGGAAATTATCCCAGGAAAACATTTTTATTTCAGCTATCACGGGGAGCTCTTCCAAACCCATCACAATCCATATGCAAAGATGTAAGTGACACTGGCCAGGACACCCAGGGACATCATTCCACGGCTGCTCTGCCTGCTGCTGACTCCATTCACGTTGCACAAGGGTTTCTCACAGCAGGAAATGTTCTGGGAGCTTTGGATTTGTTGCTGGTCTGTTGCTGGACACGTTGGAGAGCACATCTTGGAGATGACGTATTTAGGCTTGTTGGGCTCTAGTGCAGGAAGGAAAAGTGGGGGGGGGGGAAGAGATAAAAGAGGATGAAAAGTCATTGTTTAAGTATTTTTGTGGCTAAATCTGTGTTGGGGAGTAAAGGAAGGCCAGGCACTAATCCTCAAGGCAAATTTCATGGAATTAATCATAGAATCACAGAATGGTTTGGGTTGGAAGGGTCCTTAAAAATCATCCATGGGCAGGGACACCTCCCACCAGACCAGGTTGCTCAGAGGCCCATCCAGCCTAGCCTTGGACACTTCCAGGGATGGAGCAGCCACAGTATCATAAAATCCTAGAACTGTTAAGGTTGGAAAAGGCCTTTAAGATCATCAAGTCCAACCAGGACTTCTCTGGGTTCCACGTTGTCAGGTTTTGTCAATCCTAAGGTGGAATGAGCACCTGTGGCTTTCAGTTCCAGCTGCCTGAAGTGATGCTCAGGCTGGGTCGTTCCCACCAGGATGGTTTTTCCTACAGCATAAACACAGGGGGAATGTCCTGCATGACCTGAGATCTGGGATAGGAGCACATGGAGGTCTTTGAGAAGCCTCCAGGACAGACCTGAAGGATTGTGCTTGGCACAGGGAGTCAGTCATGATGAGGTTTGGCCAAAACACTTCTGAGAACAGTTCTGGGATGAACAAATGCACAGCACGAGGTGTGAATCCACACCCTGGTGCTGCTCTGTGTGTCCTCATCATTTCCCCAATTCCCAGCAGGAATATCGAGTGTGTCTGGACACTGCCACAAGGTCAGTGCCTCCTAAAAGTTGGTCATCAAAGCTTGCTGTTCCCATGCTGGGATGAAATCCCATTCCTGGCACTGCTCTCCTACAAAACAAACAAGGTGTTGTTCCCAAACCTACTTGTCCCGACGTCCTTCCTGATGGTCACACAGTGTTTGTCCTCTTCAGCACACATGGAAATGGTTAAACAGTCCTTGTTGGACTCCTGTTCTTGGCAGGTGTAGCACATGAATGGATAAACTGGGAAGGGAAAAAAAAAAAAAAGTGAAAAAGCACATTGCACGGTTTGAAAAACCACAAAAGCTCCAGTGCAGAGATCTCCATTTCCCTCGTTACAGCCTGAGGAATGGTTCTGTGGGAATGACCAGTGACTTTCTTTATCTCCTGACCCGTGGCAGCAGCTCTAAATCCTTCTCTGTCTCCTCTGGCTCAGGCTGCAGAGTGTTATCGATCTGTTTGCAATCCCTGGGAGCAGGAGATGTGAGTGGAATTCAAGGATTTGGGGGCTTTTATGAAGGAGATTATTGCTGAGCCATAGCAGCTCAGCCATGGGAATTGCCAGTTACTGCTCAGGGTTTCTCCTGGGCAGGGCTTGGCAGGGAGATTTTAAAGATGTCTGTAGCAATTTGAGGATGAGGACAGTGCCCAGTGTCCTACTTCCCTTTCATCTGGCTCAGAGGCTGCTGTCACATCTCTTTTTTTGTGCTTGAACATCACTGAACTGGCCTAACCTCAGTTCTAGGAAGTCGGGTGAGAGCCCTCACATGCTCTGTCAAACTCCTGTTTTTAGCATAAAATCGGGAAGGAGTGGAAAATCTTAACCAAAAGCTTGGTTTAAGTGCTAAAGGCAGATTTGGTGGGATAATTCTTATATCTGCAACAGTGGCAGATGACTGGCAGGAAGATCACACAGCAATGAGTTGTGTCTCCTGCCAAGAATATCCATGCCTGCCCCCAAAACCAGAATGTGATACTGCTTTCCAGACCATTGGAAAGCAGGAAAACAGGAAGAAAAGCAAAAAACAGAGTCTGGATGATAAAACACCCCAAAATATGTACAGAGCACTCCCCAGTTGGGCAGATTGAAAGGTTTTATAGTGGTGGTTGAGATCAGAGCTCATGAAATCACCCAGGGCGAAGTGAGGGGTTTTCTGATTGAGTTCCTTTAAAAACAAAGCTAATTTTTGGAGGGAAACAAAGCCAAGTGCTGACTCAGTTCCTGCTAAGTCTGGGGCAAGTCTGCCACTTTGGAAAGGGCAAAAACAACGAAAGGACACGTCCCTGTGTTTGCAGTTTTGCCCAATAAGAAGTGGGCAATGAGAAAGTGGAAGGACAGCGGAGGTCACACCATGAAACGAGAAGTTTATGACAGAAAGGAAGGAAAAAGTCATCAACTGTTGAGCCTGTGCAGCTTTTTTTGCTTCATTCTACAAGAAGTTGAATTTCCATGTGCAGAGTAGGGGAAGATTCAAGGAGGTTTTAAGGAATATTTGGCACAACCTTGAAGGATGTTGTCCTCGAGCAAGCCCAGGAAACACGAGGTGCTGAAAATTCCAGGGAATGGGTGCAAAGCCAGGCATGAGAACACCTTCAGAGGGTAATTCCCAAGGATTGTTGGCCAAACCAACTGGAGCAATGGAAGGAATTCTTCCCTGTGAGGGTGGGGAGGCCCTGGAATAGAGTTCCCAGAGAAGCTGTGGCTGCCCCTGGATCCCTGGAAGTGTCCAAGGCCAGGTTGGATGGGGCTTGGAGAAGCCTGGAACAGTGGAAGGTGTCCCTGCCCATGGCAGGGGGTTGGAATGAAATTATCTTGAAGCTCCTTTCCAACCCAAATCTGTGATTTTAAGTGATTTTTGACAGATGGACGCAACAAAAGACTTAAAGAGTGGATGCAACTAAATAAAGAGAAATAAATTACAATAGATAAAACTTATGACACTAAAATGTAGGGTGACAAAAAACTGGTTCAGTTACGATTCAGAGCCACAGTGACAGCAGCAGGAGCCAACGGTGTCACATTCCAGCCATGGAAACAGGAGTCACCCGAGGGGACACGGGCAGAAATGTCATGTGCAAGGTACACAAAGTGGCCTTTCCACCCTGGCAAGGCCTCAGCTGGAGCCCCAGTGCCCAAATCTCCCCGTGGCACTTCCAAAACTATGCAGAGCATTTGGAGAGGGACCAGAGGAGAGGGAGGGGAAAAGGTCAGAGGATCTTGGAAATGCAACCTTGTCAAAAAAGGTTGGAAGGGTTTCGTTTGTTTGTTGAAAAGGAGAATATGCTGAGGAAAGTCTTCTTCATGCAAGAAAAAAGAAGCAGCAAAGAAGAAAGTAATAAAATGTTTTATGTGTCCCGTGGTGGAAATATGGGAGAACAGTACAAAAAACTGATGCTAAGAGATATTAAAACTAAATTCCTAAAGGAGTGAGAGTCTCTGAGCAATTCCAGGCTGTGCAATCTTCCTTGTTGGAAACTTTCAGGGACACCTTAAGCAAATATCTGCCTTGTCTTGTCCAACACTGCAACAAGACTTGACGATCTTAGAGGTCTTTTCCACCCTTAATGTGATTATGTGAAAAGGATCAAGACCTTTTATGATTTTTGCTGGACACAAAATATCCATAACAGTGAGTTTGTGGATGGAAAAGGCAAAAGACCCTCTTTGGTCAGCTGAGAGATCAAGAGTTTTGACCAAAATTTGGTCATTAGGGTCTTGGATGAGACCCAGGATACCTGAGAAGGATCAAATGCCAGTTTCCACATTTTCCTATGTCCCTATTTTAGGCCGGAAAGCTGCAATTTCTTATTGTGGATCTAGGCTGGGCCACAGAAAAGTGCTGTGCAAAAGCCTGTCCATAAATCTCTTGGGAATCTGTTGCCAATACCAAAAGTCACCAGTAAGGAATCCCACCATGAACCTGTGATCCTGCATCTCTCTGAGCTTTCCAGTTCATCCTGGGTCACACTGAGAACGTTGCCTTTGGAAAATTCTCCTCTTCTGTCCGTGTTACGTTGCTTCCATCAGGAATTGTGGGCACTAAATCCATTTTTTTTTTCTTTTAAAGAATTGAATAGTCATTTTCCCACACCCAAAACTGGCTGAAGGTCCTGCTCTTCCAGGAGAACCATTCCAAAGGATGTAGGAGTAGGGGGTTGATACATTAGTGATAATTGATTAATTAGATGCTTCTTTCTCAACCAGATTCGTATCATGGTTTCTGGGAAACCATCAGGTGTGGGTGAAATTGTGGCACTTTGGTCATCATTCCCACATGCCAGGAGTGATGGAACAACACGTGTGCCTCACTCCCAGAAGGAGGACAACACTCAGCCTTCCCTTTGGGAGCAGGATGCCTTTAACATGAAAAGTTCTTTCACCTCTGCCGCTGATTTAATCTACAGAATTTCCCAGTGTTGCATTTTCTAGGAAGGCACGTGGCAAACCACTACAAGGGAGGAAGCAGCAGGACAGAAAAGCCTCTAAAATACCCAAAACCTGAAATTATTAAGAAAAAAATCCCCATTTTGTTATGCTTTCTGTCACTTCCAGCTTGCCTCTTTTTGGAAGATCCCAAAGACCACAGTGTGGATTTAACCTGGCACCACCAGAGCTGTAGCACTGGAAAGAAGAATCAACACATCAAATTCTTATTTCTGCATCAAATCATTGACTGGGATGCAAAAGGACACTGGTGACACCATCACAGCACGGCAAAGTTGGTGACAACCCCCTAAAGCTTTGCCACGTGGAAAACTGTCACCCTAATCCTCGTCTTAAGTAGGAGCAGCTCACCTTGTTCCACACAGAGGACAGCAGCCAGCAGGGTGACAAGAGGAGCCCTCATCTCCAGCAGATCCTCCCAGCAGGGACTGGGAGCTGTTTTGAGGGCAGGTTTTATAGCCCATGGCTCACGGGTGGACGTGAAATCAAGCCGGGGTGTGGAATGTCCATGTGGGAGTTTTCCAAGCCCTCGTAACAGGCTGGCACCTTGGGGAAAAGCCCTTTCAGCCACGCTTTTCTTGCTCTTCCGGTCGTGTGAGTGATGGGAAGTCTGGATCTGCTCTCTCCTCCTCTGAATTTCTTCCTTTCCTTCCTTCCAGAGCCGCTGCTCTGATGAAAGCAGAGCCCGGAGGCACGGGGAGATTGTCCTAGCAATGAATTTTTCTGGTCCCTTTGCACAGACAGCACGTGACGTTCCAGGGCTTGTACTGTTCATTGGCTTTAATTATTCAACAGCACCAGGCTCAGCCTCGGAGCTGGCCTAAGCTGGTTTTACCTCAAAAATCAGTGTGTTTTACACCAAATTAAATTAGCTAACGGTTCGTTAAACAGAAGATTTTCCTCAAATTTTCACGCCAGTCTTCATTTCTTTATCAGTTTTCCTCTGGTTAATCCCTCTGCTCGCTCTTTTCCCTGCTTGTAATCCTCAAGTACCTTGTACAATTTTGATTTAATGAAGTTTTGCTGCTATCCAGGGATTCTTTAGAGGAGCTGCTTTTCTCCACGCCCAACGGTTTCTCGAAATCAGGCCTCCATTTCCAAGCCCACAAATTGGCACCCTGGAATTGCAGCTCTGCTCTGGAAAGAGCCATCCCTCAAAGTGTCATTTTTAAAATCTCTCCTCTTAAATCAGTCCTTTTGCTTTTATTCCTCTGTGTTGCTCCTCTCCTCTGAATTCCTTAAAATTTGTTTTTGACTGTCTGGGATAGAGACCTTCATTTTAAGATGCATCTTGTAAGAGCTCGAGCTGCCAAGTCCACAGAGCTTCTTCTAAAACAAGATTAGTCCTGGACAGCAGAAAGAAAATATTGTCAAACCCTGCTTTTTCTGGCAATTATGGCATAACTTAAGTGGCAATTCCCTGCATGTAGCCATCAGCAGGGTGTTTTTGTCTGTTTCTAACATGAATCATTCCAACACTGGATGATTTCCTGATCCATGTGATTGTCTGGCACTTTTTTCAGGCCCTCCTGATCTGCTCCTGGATTGACGTCATCAGGTGGTGAATTCCAGAGTTGTCCAAGCCCTGTGTCCAGGCAGACATTCCCTGGGTTTTGGAGGTTGGTGAGGTCACTGGGGATGTGGTGATGATCCAGTTGAGCCTTGTGTTTCACACAGGACATCTTGGTCCTTTGCCCCAGTGTTTTGTAAACAGGTTTTTCTCCCTCATTAGTGGGTGTGCCTCCTTGCTGGCATTTTGCAGTGAGGATGAAAGGAAAGAACCTTTCTTTTCCCCTTATTTTTGGTCTTATTTATCCCATAGACTTGTGTTTATTCCTTTCCCCTTCCATAGCCCTGTTCCTGTTGATCTCCATAGAATCACAGACTGGGTTGGTGGGAAGGGATCTTAAAAATCACCTTGGCCCAACCTCATGCCGTGGGCAGGGACACCTTCCACTGTCCCAGGTTGCTCCAAGCCCCATCCAACCTGGCTTTGTTGATTTTCCATTTTATTCCCACATGAATCTTCTGGGAATTGGATCAGCACAAGTCAACTTTGACTTTGACTTTGAAGGAGCAGTGAGCCTAAAAACATTCCCAGCACATCCAACAAAGATGTACTAAGGAGAGAAGTTTGGGTGGGAAATGGGATTTTCTGTCCTTTCTGGGAGCTGTCTCCAGGACATGAATGCCTTCCTTAGTCCTGTGGTTCTAAGGCACCTTGGAATGCTGGAGCATTCCCTCTTCCTGGTGCATGGAGAGCATGGAAAAGAGATTTATTTCCCTATAGGGCAGATTACAAAACTCAGAAGCACTCAGAGGCATCACTCAAGGATCCAGCATGGAGAAGGTGTCTCCTGCAGCCTGGAGGAGGGCCTGGAGCAAGGACACCAAGTGAGGAGTAAGATTGAGGAAGACTGGGAAAAAAAAAATCCCCAAGGAAGCTGAGTCACCTCTCTGGAGTCATCTTATCATTATCCATGCAGGAAAATTAAAGTGAATGAAATTGGAGCCATGAGTTGGCTCTGTGACAAGAAAGCAGCAGTCAGCTTTGGAAAAAGGGTTGCTTTTCTCCCTTTCCATGGCTTCCAGAAGATTTTTAGAATTAGTGAGGATATTTCTTTGATCTCTTGTGTCCATCCTGTCTCTTGCTTTGTCATTGAGGCACTGTGTTGGATTTGGGCAGATAAACAGGGAAAAGGGGGAAAAATTTCATGTTGTCAGGGAAAAGGCAGGGGAATTATTCAAGGAGAGCAGAAGGCAGCACAGATCCTTCAAAACCAATGGTGGGAAAGCCCCAAAAGAGGGAAAGGAAGGGCCAAAATTAAAACACCTCCTGCAGATGCCTCGTTTAGGCAGGGAAAGGCATCCTTGGCTGATCCAGGTCCTGGTACAGTGACTCAGAGCTCTGAAAAATGAGTTTTATATAATCCACAGGGAGAGAGAGAGCCAGTTCCAGGATCAATCCCAGCTACTGGAATGAGACTCCCATCTCCATCCCAAAAGCCCTCCAGGCGTCACAGATGTCTCTGCTCCCATGTGAGGAGTGTGCAGCCATGGGAGGCACCAGAAACCTGGGGTGATGGAAGGATTTGGAATTAGGGAGCAACACACCTGCGTGGGAGGTGTCAATCCGGATTTCTCAGGAAGGCTGGCAGAGTTCTCCTCTTAGTCAACATTCCGAGGGGAGGGTTCACCACGGGAGCTCTCATGTTTTTGGGACCTCCTGTGCCTCAGGGAAGTTGCTGCTCCAGCCTCCAGATAAGGGCTTTGGGATGTGGGTCAGCTTTGGAGCGTTTTGTTGGGCACTAGGGGAAAAATCCTATGGGATCGGGGGGAAATCAGGCAAGAAAGGAGCCAGCCAGGATGGAGCTGCTCTTAGGGATGGCACTTCTGGATTCCCAGAGCTGTTTATAATTTCTCCATGCAATGTTTATAACTTCTCCATGCAATGTTTATTACTTCTCCAGCCATAACCAGAGCATGAAACATTCCAGGGGTGTCACACGTGCTTCCATCCCCTTTGCCAAGCCAGGATCCTTCCCATCCCAAAACAGAGGTACCTGCCATGTTCAGGCAGCTCAAGACATGACCGTGTTTTAAACCTGGCTGTCAAGGGCAGGTCTGGATTCCCAAACTCAGCAGAACAAGACCTGAGGCTGTACCAGCCCCATCTTGGCCTTTCCCTGTGCCAGCCATTGTCCCTAAGGAATCCCAAACCTGTGGACAGCACAGGATGAAGATTATTCCAAATAGTTCAGCTGTCACCATGTTAGGAGCAGGGTGTGGGGTCAGCCAAGGTCACAGAATTGGCTTCTTGGGGGGTTTTGGGTCTGTGTCACTTGAATATCCCTAAATTTGGCAGGGAGGGATGCAGGGTGAGGAGAATGAATCGGGCAGATGGAAGGAACCAGCTCATCTGAGAGAGGCAATAAAATCCGTGGGGAGAATGGAGACACTCATGGCCAAAACCAAAGTATCCTTGGCCAATCTTGTATTTACACTGAGGAGGAAACAGTGAGTTGAGGCAAGGATGGAAAAAAACAGAGTAAGAATGGAGGAAGAAGCCAACGAGGAAATCTGGGAGAGAAAACAACCAGGGAATGCAGAGCTGGGATTGGTCGTGGATGGGAGGAAGGTGAACAGGAAGGGGTAAGAGCAGACTGGGGTGAGCTGGAGCCACAAGCCCACATTTCCTCTGCAAAGCTGTGGTAAAGAACGAAGATGTGGCTGTTCCCAAGCAGTTGTTGTTCCTCTAATCCCAGAAAATGCCTGTCAGAATGAGCATGGACCTGTGCAAGGAGTCTAGGGAGGGAAAACCAGCTGGGTGAGCTGCACCACTCTGCTTTCCCTGGGAGATCTTCCTCAGGAGAAAAGCAGTTTTGTCCCAGGAGAAAAGCAGTTCAGCCTCCCTGGAAGGGTCGGAGTGAGCAAATCTCTCATTCCTAAGATTTTCCACAAGGAAGGTCAGACCAGGGTGATGAGTCCCTTTAATTTTAACTTGACGAGCAAACATGAAAGATTTATTTGCACTGTTAATATTTTTTTCACAGATGAGTCTGAAAAATTCCAGGTTTCTTTCCAGAAACCATCTGTCTTTTCCTACTATTTTCCTTTAAGCACCGTGCAAGATACTTTTCACCCTTTTCTAAATAATCCTGATGCTTCTAAAGGAATTTCCTCTGGGAGATCTTAAACAGTTTAAAGGAAATGCTCCAGATCCCATCCAGTCAGGCCCTGCCTTGTCCCCTCTTGTTTCCTGGAGAGCTCAAGAGCTGTTTCCTTCCAGGCAGCTGCCCCAGGATAGGGATTGAAAGAAAGTTAAATAGAATGCAGTTTATTCCGAAATGGAGTCACAAAAATCCCATTTCTGCCAGTGCAGAAAAGTAAAATCTGGGGAGAGGCTTCCTGAAGTGAATGCAAAGTAATCTTAATATATTTCAGCATTATTCCCATTCAACTTGCCTCTGCCTCTGCTTTTACCCCATAACATGGATACATCCAGCAGCTACACCCAATAGAATAAAATAACACAATAGAATAAAATAACACTTTATTGTGCCCAGTTTCTGTTTAACAACTGGAATATTAAAGGCTTTCTCGGAGCAAAATGATACTGAGTGGAAAATGGGATTGGGGGAAAAAAATGGCACAAGAGAACGGCCGGGCTAAAATGAAAGGCAAAAAAATGCACGGAGTTATAAATGCCAGGAGTAGGAGAGATGGTGACCACATGGGGCTCCATTTTTAGCCCTTTCTCTCCCAAACATCATTTTCTGTTGTCATCAGAGCATGGAAAGAGCAGAAATTATCTCCTGATAGGAGGTGACCTTCCAGGTAGGAGGCACAGGGCAGCATTCCCCACCTGATGGACCGCAGCTTGAACCGTGCCAAGCGAAGCCAAGCAGCTCGTTTTCCCCCCAAAAAAAAAAAAAAAAAAAAAAAAAAAAAAAATCAAAAACCCATCCTGAGGATGCAGGCGAGACTGGCCAGGACCCCCAGGGTGAGGATGGTGGAACTGGTTTTCACACTGCTGGCCCCACTCACGTTGCACAGGGAGGTCTCACAGCAGCTGGTGGCGACTCCAGCTATGCCGATGTTCAGGTCAATTGTTGGGCAAAATGCAGAACATTTCTTGCTGATCCGCTGGCTCCGGTCACTGCCTGGAGTGGGAGGGAGAGAAAACAGCAGGAAAAGTTCAAATTTTTATCTTGGATTTTTTTTTTTTTTTTTTTTTGCAGGTTTCAATCACCTGCCTGGCTGTTCAATCCCGCGGGGAATTTGTTATTCTGCACTCGACGCCGTTGGGTTTTCCCTTGGGTTTTGTCACATTCCATCATTATTTGTGTATGTGTGACCTATGGACACCATCTCCAGGCTTTACAAATCCTTCAGTGGTTTCAGGGCCAGCTGAGGGCAAGAATTTGCGATTTATTTGTACAATGTGAGATTGCAAAAGTTTGGCACCGTGCCTTGGGATTGCTCCTTCCAGAGCACCCGGCCATTTCCATTTCTACCACTTCATGGGCATAAACTTGAGCTTGGAGTTGAGACAAGGAGTTTGTGCAGGAATAATAAAAATAATTCTTTTTATTCCAGCATCTCCCTGTCCTGAGAGTGTTTAATCAGCAGTATTTAATTTTAATTGAGTTTAATCAGAAGTATTTTTACGATATGTTACAATGGACTCAGGCTGTGTCATGTTCCCAGCTTCCCAAGATTTGTTCTCTTTGTGCTAAAATCCTCATTAATTCCTCCACTCTGCCTCCAGTTGGGAGGAGGATGAGCTGTCAGCCCCACCTGAGCCCCACCTTGTCCTCAGGGCCTTGGGAAAGCTCCACACTCACCAGTTCCTGAGGTGGAATAGGTTGTCAGACAATACTTCTCATTCTCAGAGCATTTGGTGATGCCCAGACAATGGATGTTGGAAGTTGCATCTTTGCAGGAGAAGCAGCTCAGGGAGAAAGCTGCAAAAGAAGCACAAAGACATCCATCAGGCACCTCTGGGAATATCCTTAGGAGCACAAAACTGGGGACGGATGGAGGATCTGTCAAGCCCAGTGGCCACAGGTAAAAATTTCCTACATGGGTTAAACTTGGCCCCAAGGACTCCCCAGGAGCCAGATTAGGCTCAAATTGCTGCCAGAGCTGTGGTTTGCTTATTTAGGAACCCTCAGGGATCCTCCCTCTGGATATTTGGTTGACTCTTCCTTGAATCCATCAAAACATCTGGCATCTCCCCAGTGTTTTTGGGAAGAGCAGCCCAGTCTCCCACCACCTGTAGAGTGAAGCTCTTGGGTTTTCTTTCCAACCTGGCCCCTCCCAGCCTCAGTTTCTGGCCACTGGTTCTTGTATGGAGACATTGGACCAAGGAATCTGGGCTGGCCCATCCCTGGAAGTGTCCAAGGTCGGGCTGGATGAGGCTTGGAACAACCTGGGATAGTGGAAGGTGTCCCTGCCCGTGGCAGGGGGTTGGAACGAGATGGTTTTTAAGATCCTTTCCAACCCAAACCTTTCTATGATTTGGGTTGATTTTCAGGGCTCTCCTGTGCCAGGAGGAAAATCTTGAATCTGTACAAGTCTGAGCTCAGCAAATCCCTGCCTTGGCTGCAGCAGATTCCTCTTCCAGCCATCCATGGCTAACAAAACGTGCACATCTGGAACACTCTGCATCTGCAAAGTGCTTTGCTAAAATCAGTGAATGAGAACAGCTGGCACTCAATGAGGCTGAAGCATCGTTGAGAGCAAAGAGATCCTTGGGGAAGGATTCTTTGCATGATAAGGGGAATTTCCTCCTCATCTGTTTATCTGGCTGCAATGTCACCCTCCAGGGATTAAACTCATCTTCATTTCTGGAATATCCCTGGCTGCTGGCAGTTAATGCCCAGCTAATTCTTGCAGCAACTTTGTCCTTTAGCTTTGCCTTCCTTGCTCTTCATCTTCCTCACTCCTCTCCCTCGCCCAGGTTTCTTTGTGCCTTTGTCAGCAATGTCCCAACCTCACCACTGCCCTTGTTTGACCTTGGACAAGTCCCTCTGGCCCAAATAGTGATCCTTAAGTGTCCTGCCAGCCCAGATCTGGCTCCAGCTCAGTCCATGACCACAGAATCACTGTTTTCATTTTAGGTCTCAATTCTTCCTCTGCCTGTGTGAAAACTCTGCCTTCTTTTCCCACTCCAGCCAACATCCCCTTCCTTCCCATGGCTTTTCCTCTTGTGGTCCTCACATTCCCTACTCTCCCTCTGTGGTCCCTCACTGACTGGCACCGAGCAGATGCCACCAGAAAACTCAGACCCCACTTCCCACCATTCCCATGGTCATTCCAAAAGCCTCACACGTGGCACCCGGCTCTCTTTGAGTTCATATCCAGACTTTTTCAATCTGCTTCCCATCGTGGTCATTCCCATCTCCAGAAGCTCCATTTGTCCTACCTGGCTCTTGCTTTCAATATTGTCCTGACCTTTCAGGCCCAATTTTATTTTTTCAAATCTGGGACTCTCCTTTAGATCGTCCCTGTCTGAAGTGTTTGTCTTCATTCTCTTTTCTTCTGCAAAATTCTATAATATGGAATATCATACAGAATATTTCAGCTCCACCCCACTGGGATCCACCCTTTCCTTACAGAAACACTCAGTCCCCAAACTGGATTTTCCAGACACAGAGCTCACTTTAATCCTTAATAAAAGTAGCATCTTTAATCCAAGCCCATTCCCAGTAAAACTTCCTGAATGGGTGCAGGAAACAGTGGAGCTGGTTCCATGGCCACATCTTGTTTCATTCCAAACTCCTAATTTTAGGCTCCAGTTGCCCTGGGAGCCTCCTTGGCAGGAGAAGGGGCAATCATCATCCAAGGATGGATTTTTCAACCACTCTCTGTGCTCCAGAGATTTCTGACTCACCAATTAATCCAAGACTCCGGGATTGGCTCCTAAACTGGCACACCCTGAAGTCAGGGAGGGCAGTTTTAGCCAAGCTACAGAAAAACACTTTAATTTACTTAATTTGTTGAGGTATCTGTTGCAGTGAGGGTTGAGAGGGGAAGGGAATTTTTTATTTCTTCCAGATGCAAACCTTGAGTTTATCTGGGCTGCTGTGGATGTCTCCACACCCACCAAGACCTCAGCTCTCACTGAGGAGAAACATTCCTCAAGGAATTTGCTGTCTCATTCCTTGATCTTTAAAAAAGAAAAAAAATGGGAGTAAAGCAGTAGGAAAAGAAAAGTATTCTTTTCTTTGCCTTAACATCCTCAGCTTGAGCACAATTCCAAGTTTCAAGCCTGTGAAATCTATCAAGAGGAATATTTCCATCCTCAAGTTAAGTGGGATGCAAAGAGGTCTGTTAGTCCAGGAGCAGAATGAATTTGCAGGTCAAATCCTACAGGGAAAAACTCAGTTTGCAAACAGGCAAAAGCCCCCTGAGCTGAGGAAATCAGCATTCCCCTAAAACAGAGGGATATTCCAGGCTGCACCTTCTGTTCCTTGCCTGACCCAGAGCACAGGGAGTGGTCCTTGGCAGAGTGAAACCAGGAAAATTGAGGCGCAGCTTCCCTGTGCTCTCCCAAAAAATATCCCCCAGACAATTATCAGAATGAGAATGGGACTCAGCATCTCCATCCCAGACCTGGGATCAGCTGGGAATCATGGAATCATTAAAGCTGGAAAAGATCATCGAGTCCAGGTTCAGCACTAAACCCTGGCTCTGAGCACCACACCCATTTTATTTTCTGAACGCTTCCATGGATGTGATCCCACCACTTCCCTGGGCAGCCTGGATGCTCAACCACCCTTCCCAGGATGGAATTTTTCCTAACAGATCAGACTCCACCATCTCAAAGGTCTTTTTCCAACCTTAGGGATTCTGTGATCAGCAAAGTTGCACCTGCAAGCAACAAGGAGCCAGAATTGCACCTTCCTGTGGCTCAACCACCTCTGTCAATTTTGGAAATGATGGTTTGTGGTGCAACCAATTTAAAAAAATAAAAATAAAAATCAGGTTTTAGTGTCAAATCCAGATATTTACTGCAGATATCTCCCCATCCCTGCCCTGGGTGTCCCTCACTGAGCCATTCCAGGGGCTGGGCTGGGTCTGCAGGAATCATCTGAGGTGGGAATCTCAAACCGCCCCCCCCAACACTCATCATCATCATCCCTCCAGCTTCTGGTGGGGTTGAACCCCTTGTCCCCTTCTGGAATAACTCCTCCACGACCCTCCAGCTTCACCATCCACACTGCAAAGTCCTGGAATAACAAAGCCATGCCACGCTGCAAAATCCTGGAATAACAAAGCCATGCCCCAGCTTTGGGAGGGCTCCGTGCAGAGCAATCCTTTGGGGACTCACCACTTTCCGTGCACAGGGCGATGCCGAGCACGACCAGGAGGAAAAGCTTCATCCTTTAAGAGGTCTGGGAGCCTCCAAAATAATCAGGAGTCAGGCAGGGCAGGTTTTATACCTCTGGAGTGTTTGCTTTGATCCGGAGATAATTCCCCGAGGCTGCTGTGTCAGATGATGGATAATAGGGAGCAGCGTGCCCGGGCTTGTACGGGCAAGGGTGTTTTGTTGGAAATCTGGAGAGGGGTGTGGTTTTCCTCACAACTTCTCCTTTTCTTGGTTGTTTCACAACGCAGCTGCTCCAGCTGACGTGAACTCTGTAAGTGTTTCTAATTCTGGAGAAGTGGGGGGGGGAAGCAAAACAAAAAAAAATAAAACCATTTTCCCCGCGGAAGAATAAGGTTTTCCTTTCCAGGTCTCAGAGCATCCTCCAAGATCGTGTCCTTGCACATATGGAAATGGAGGGAATTTAAATTTAAAATTGAATTTGGGATGGAAACTTCTCCCAGATGCCTCCCAGGATTGTCAAGACTGAGATCAGAAGAGCAGAATCCTTCCACTGCTTTTCATAAGGGACCAGGCATCATTTTCTGTCTCCTTTTTAAGTTCAAAATCAGATATATTTCTGGGGTATTTTTTATGAGGAGAAAATGTTATCTTATTAGAAAATAAATTCCACAGGGCAAATAAAAATGACCATTTAAGCTAAAAAATAGAAATAACACCCACTCCCGTGGCATGGAACAAGCTGGGAATATTTTCACAAATTCACACAAAAAAAGAAAAAAGGCAGGGAGAAAAAAACAAACCAATTAAAGCATGGAGAAGGAGGGGTTGGCTGGTCAATGATCTCAACTCATTAAGTCTTCAGAAAAAGAAAATTTGTGAAATGCCAAACAGGATTATTCCACTGGATTCCCAGATTGTGCTCTTTACTCCTCCTTTTTTTTTTCCCTTCAAATCATGTTTCATCCAATCTCCCTGAATAAAATCAGAACCTCTCCCATCTTCCTGAGTATTTTTGTTGTTTTTTCCCCTCCCACTGTTGCCTTTCTGCCATCAAGTCTCAGGAACAGAGGCACAATCCCAGGGAAGGTCCAGCTGGATTTTCTCACGTGATCCTTGGAGCTGCAGGAGCTGCCCCAAAGCCTCTGCCAGCTCCTCTGCCCCTTGCTGCTCTCCATCTGCTCCAGACCCTTTTTTCCTCCCCTCCAGCTCGCTCACATTCCCATCTCCCATGGAATATTTCGGGTTTCCAGCCTGACCCACCTCCAGCCACCCTCTCACCGGGAAAACACGCCAGTGTTCCCAAGGTGATGTCAGATTTTCCAACACCTCCAAATTGGATTTATAAACATTGTCCCTCTGGAACCCTGCATGAGTAAGGTGAGGAAATTTTGGCTTTCCCAATAGTCAGAGCACGAAACTCAGTGGGAGCAGAGGTGGCAATTACCCAGAAAAGCTCCGAGGAGGGGCGAGGTTTGGCTCCATCAGCCTCCTCAAGGCAGCAGGAAAACAAAGCTCCCTCCATGCCAGCGCAAAATATTGTGAAATATTTTCTTTTCCCCCAGCCAGAGTAGGTTTAATGAGGTTTTAGTGGTAAATCCATGTTTATTGGGGCCTACACAGAGGGCTCCAATGCCAAGGAGATGCTGCTCCATTCCAGAGCCAGCCCACGTTGGGATTTATCTCCGACAGCATCCCTTGACAGGTTCAGAAATAGCAGCTCAGGCACTGCTTTTTTTTTTTTCCCCTTCCCTCAAAATCTCATCCATGCCAAACCCTAAAATATCTTCTGTCTACTGCAATCTGCTGAGATTTGGAGAAGGACAGGATGGATTTGTTAAAGGCTTTATTGCAGGATTCCTGACAGATTTTTCCATGAGATGCTCCTGAAATCTTCCAGCTGGTCCATATGGCCCTCTGATATTTTGTCCCTGCTAGGGCCAGGTGACAGAATGAAAGGAGCCCATGGGGGCAGGAAGGACACAGAGGACACGAGAAGAACCAAGGCAAACGAGAAGATAAAATCCCAGTTTACAAGAATTTGGAATTCATGAAATTCGGGATGATTTTGTAAAGAGTAACAGGGGATTTAACTGAAGGTGGAAAGATTTATTTCCCTTGACACAGTGGAGTGGAGAAGGAAAGGAGGAGAATGTTTTACTTATCTCGTTTTAAACCTGATCGAAATCATCACATGAAAAGGGCAAACAATTGTTTCATTTTGGGGGAAAATGCAATTTTCATCAAACAAGTGCTGAAATGCAAAAGTAGCTGTGAAATTCAGATGTTGTTACTAAATGTGGAACTTGAAGTTGGCCAAAAGCTTTGAGAAGTGTCTCAGAAATGATTGTGATTAACATAAAGTGATGGGAAAAGTGATTTAAAAACATGCAAAGCCCCAAGTTTCTGGGGAAATATTTCCCTCAGAAATTCTACAACACTTCCACTTCGGTTATCCCACTGAAATAAATTCCAGAACACCCTTCCTGACCAGAAATTAAATCTTTATAGGATGATTAAACCTAATCCCATCTTTACAACCTTCACCCAGCACTGCGGTTTCTCCCCGTTGCACGGATCCACGTGGAATTTGTAGTGTTGGTGGAGTAGGATTGCCCTCAAATCCAGCACAAAATTGCCCTCAAATACAGCACAAAATTGCCCTTAAACCCATCCCAGGATTCCCCTCAAATCCAGCACAAGATTCCTCTGAAATAAAAGAGGGCTGGGGGCCTTTTTTCCAGGTGCTGCTATAAAGACCCTCCCAAAAATCAGTGCTGCACTTTTCCACACTCCCCAGTTCCAAGATTATTTTATTTGCTTGTTTTAGCTCTAGTTCTGCTCCTCCAAGAGCTGAAGGGGATCTCCATCCCATCTCCATCATCCCCAAGCCTGGAAATGCAGCAGAAACCCTGGAAAGGGACGGAGCAGAGACCTCCCCAGTCAGCTCAGACACCATCACCTCTCCCAGGCTCTTCCTGCCCTTTTCCCACAGGAAAATCAGGAGCAATCCCTCAGCAGCATCTCCAAGCAGGCACGGGGGTCTCCTTTCCATGAGGACAGATTCCAGCAGCGTTTTCCTTACCTTGGGCATCTCCAGCACATTTTGGTGGGACCTTCACCTGTTTTAAAAAGCTGGAACAACTCACCTTGCAGAGATCCCAGTGCAAATTCCTGCAGGACCAAATTCCTGGTCCTGTCTCAGCACCTACAAAACAATTCCCACTGTTGCTTGCAATGAGAACAACACAAACATCTCTGACCTTTGCAGACTGACACCATTCCTTATCTCACAGGGATCTGGGAGAGCATCTGGCTCTGTGGAGTGTCTGGAGCTGTTGGATGGAAGAAAGTTAGGAAAGGCAGCCTAGAGAAGACTCCCAAGTGCTAAAAAGAGGAATTCACTGTGAAGCAGAGCTGATTTCTCAAGCTGGTCCCAGTTTGGATACAACAAACACACTCTAGAATAACACAAATCTTTATTTTTTTTTTCTGACAATTATCACACACGTGCTATCAAAAGAGCTTTTCCAGGGGGAAAAAAAAAATTAGTATAAAACAACAGGGGGGAAAAATAGGAGCTACACTTCTGTGTCACGTCGGGATCTGAATCCACATCTCGGAATAAAACCGGATCACTGTTGGAAACTCTCAGCTGAGGTTTCTCCTGGGGAATACCTTGTGGTCACATCTTCTTCACAGCCCTGATCACAATCCCACCCTGAGCACGCAGAGCAGGCTGCCCAGGATTCCCAGCAGGATCACGGGGTAGTTGATCCGGATGCTGTTGGCCCCGCTGAAGTTGCACAGGGAGGTCTTGCAGCACTTGGTGGAGTAAGCGGCCATCCCGAAATTCACGTTGGTCTCGGGACAGTCCACGGAGCATTTCTTGGTGATGCGGTATCCCATGTCCTTGCCTGGGTGTGGAGAAGGGGTAGGAAAGGAGAGCTGGGGTTTAGGATTCGTCTGGAAGAGCTGACCAGAGGAGGGAGATTTGCAATTCCTTGGAATTTCCACACAGCAATAAAAGCTCTCAGGGCTGGGTGTGAATCCACAAGTCCTGGATCAAATGTGGGACACTGGGAAGTCCTTGACTGAAGCCCACACTGGCCTAAATCTCTGATCTGGTTGCCCAAGTGGTGGCCAAAGGTTAGCCTCAAGATCTTGGAGGTCTTTCCAAACCTAAATGATTCTGTGGTTCCTCTAGGACACCAATTCCAATGCATTCCCAGCTTTTTAGACATTGCTATTGGCACCTAACTCTTTTCTGTTCTCCATCCCAAAACATCCCAGAACAAACAACAGAGCCTGCTCCTGAAATTTGGGCTCATGAAATTTCCAGCCAGCCCTTCCACAAGGTGGTGAGGTTTTCCAGAGAAACTGTGGCTGCCCCATCCCTGGAAGGGGATCCCTGGAGCAACCTGGTCTAGTGGGAGGTATCCCTGGAACAAGAAGATCCCAAAGGTCCCTTCTAACTCAAATCACCACTGAAGGATTCACACTCATCACACTGAGACAAACCTCAAAAGCATCACTTCTTTCCAACAAAACCATCAATTTCAATCGATTCCCTAAAAAAAGTTGCCCAGCAATGTCTCTAGAGGAAAAAAATTCCCAGTTTCTGGGACTCACCAATTCCAGCAGTGCTGTATGTGGTCGTGCAGAATTTCTCATGGTCCTCACACTTGTAGGTTTTCATGCAGTTCCAGTTGGAATGTTCGTTGTCACAGACGTAGCAGAACAGGGAGGAAGCTGGAAAAAACACCCACGACACAGATTAGTGATTGCCAGCAATTCCCTCCTGGGAAAAAATGTGCCAAAAGCCTTGGAAAAGACAAGGTGAAAACTCTGGTGTGAACAACTTTTCTCAGCAAGTGAAATAAGTTTGGGTTTGATTAATGGAGCTGTGAAAACAAATGTCAAGAGGAAACCAAGTTTTCTTTCTGGACTGGAGATTTTAAGGGGTTAAATTTACATTTTTCAGCCTGAGCATCATTTTCAGGTGATTTTTTTCTTCTCCCCAGGGTCCACGTTGGCTCTATTGAAAACCAACCTCCAAAAGCAAAGTCCTAGCAAGGAGAGGAGGAGCCAGCCCAATTCTAGAGGTCAGTTTTAAATATTTTCAGCCTACATCTGCAAAACCCTGCCCAGACATGAATTAATTATTGCCTAATGACGCCCCTGGGAGCCAAATTACTGAGGCACCACAGTAAAGGGAGTTCCCTAGGAGAGGCTGCCCTGGACAATGGATGGATTATTCCTATCAGCATCTGGAACAAGGTGTTCTCCATGATATTTTTTCCTCAGTGCTGAGCCAGGTCTGTCCCCTGAGCCAGAAAAAATTGGGCACAACTGAAGTAAAATGAGTCAAAATTCCAGGCTGGTCATTACAACACAGATGTGCCTTCTTGTTCCCCAGAGGTGGATTCACAATACACACAAAAGGTGGAAATTGTTTCCCTCCTGCCCAAAATTCCAATAAATGCTCCTCATTTTGGGGCAGGGGTGACAGAGGCAGCTGGGCTGCTCTCAGGAAATCCTGCTCCATTGTCAGCAGCAGTGAGGAGCTCTTGGTTGAAGGTGAACAAAATTATAAACCAGTGAGGAGTCTCCATGAGGCTGAGATTTCCCTGGTTCTGTTTTCCCTGACTTTCTCAGCCCAGGAAGGCTTTTTTTTTTTTTTTTTTTTTCCACAGTTCACCCCTTCCAATCAAACTTGGACTTGTTTTTAGGAAGGAAACCCCACCCAGTTACCCTTCAAAGTTTGTTCTTGATTCAAGCTCTCATCTCATGAGGTTGAGTCTGCCCGTGAAACTTGGTTAAGCAATTCAAGCAGCGGTTTTAAAAGAGAACTGAAAGCCCTTTTAGTCTCTCACCATCTCAAGGAGGAGAAAAAGAGGCCTCCCCTCTGAGATCTGGGGAGCTCTGGGTGTCTCAGCACAGGACTGGCTTGCTCTGAAACCTTCCCAGATGCTTCAAAGAAAGTTGGACAGGGTTTGGAACAACCTGGGACAGTGCAAGGTGTCCCTGCCCACGGCAGGGGCAGGAACAGGACAATCCTTAAGGTCCTATCCAATCCAAACCATGTCATCATTTGCTGATTCTCTGCTCTTTTCCAGTGCCAGGTCTTGCAAGCTCAGGAGTTCTCTGTGGCAGGAGGTAAAATCAGCCTTGTTGCAAACTGCATTCGAGTTCTCCTTTTCATCACTCACTATTTCTCCATCACTTGGGAATTTTCAGCCTCCCACCTCTCCTCTGGAGGTTCCCCGAGCTGAGCTGGGGGCTCCTGTCCCTTTGCAGGCAAAGCAAACTCATACCTGGTGAGGATTATTGCATTTTACGGACCCTGGAGCTCTCCCTGATCTGATTTTCTGCCAAATTTCCCAAACCACTTCCTGCTGCAGATGGAGCCAAATCCTCATCACGTGCCTGAGAGCAGCTGAAAGCACTGATGTTCCCTAAATGATCCCAGGAAAATTCCTTCCAGCCAGGAAACAATAACAGCTCGAGCCATTAGAGTTGCTCTGAAGCCTTTCCTGTGTCTGCCGTCCACCCTCCATTAGCTGGAGTTTTGCAAATGCAGCCAGAAACAACTTTAAACAGTGCAAATTGTTCTCCTCGGGCTGGCAAACCCATGCCCAGAGCCAAGATTTCCCAACTGGATATTCCCCCACAATTATCCAGGTATGGCTGCATCTCCTTTTAAAGAGGACAGGAGCAGAGTGTGGTACATCCCATTCCAAACACACTCCCAGGCACTTTACAGCTCTTCCAATTTAGGAGCAAAGAGCTCTGAGGATTTCAAATGCCTGCCAGCAGCCTCATTACTTAATTGGAATTGTGGGGAATAAAGTGATGTGCTGGCAGGAGATGTGGTGCCAGCACCAGCCACGCTTTCATCCACAGCAGCTCCTCGAGTTTCATTCAGGAACAAAAATCAAACCAAAGGCAAAAAGCTCTGAGCCCTGCTTGATTCCTGTCAGCACTTTTCAGGTCGTGTCTTCAGCTGTGAGTGGTGGGAGCTGAATATCTGAGGGTGTGAGAAACCAGAGTTCATTTCCTCTGGGTTACAGAGAACCCACCCAGGAGCGAGGACTCAACCACACCAAATATTTCTCGCCGTGGCTGACACCAAAAATACACACCAAGATCTCAGCAGCTGCAAGAGAAGCTGCCAAACCCTCTTGTCCCTCATTTATCTCCTTGTTTTTCCTCTCCTCTGGCTCTCCCAGCCTGCTGAGCTCCTTACCTTGCTGGGCACACAGGACTGCAGCCAGCAGGGCCACCAGAAAAGCCTTCATGGTTGGTCCTCGTGCCCTCAGAGCAGGAGCAGTGTGGGAAGATGCACCCCAGGAAGGTTTTATACCAGCACAGCCTCGTCTCTGGCTTCCTTTGATTGCAATAATTTGAGGTTTGGGCAGTGCCATCACCCGAGATGTGATCAGTGCTGGGTGTGTTTGTGCGTAGGAACCTATTACGAGGCTGCAGATAGCGATGTTTTCTTACCTGTCCTTCTCATCCAATTTTTTTTTTTTTTTTTTTTTTTTCCGAGGACTGCTCCTGTCTGCATTGCTAATTTGGGGAGTGATTTAACATGGGAGTCCCTTCTTGGGCTGAGCCACGAAACCTGGAGCAAGTCAGAGGCAGCTGGGCCTGGCTGGGGTGGCTCCTTGCCTGCTGGCACCCTCCATCCTTTCTGCCTGCCATGCAATGGGAGCTCCCAAAGTGGGAGAGGAGGCAAGGAAAGGTTTTTGGATTGTCCAGAGCCACTGAGAATTATCTCACTTGTACAAAATGCTTTAAGCAGGAAGCAGCACCATTCCTTCAGTCATGGAATCAGAGAAAGGTTTGGGCTGAAAGGGACCTTAAAGATCCTCTTGTTCCACCCCTGATCCCACAGTTTCTGCCTGGGGATGTCACTCAGAGGCTCCAATAGTCCAGGCAGGGATGGGGTTTGATGCTTTTGTTTTGTTCTTCTGTCCTCCAGACCCATCCAGGGTTTCCAGGTGACAATGTTTGTTGCTCCCTGGAGACCAGCTCCGAACTCTGTCAGGTTTTTCCAGTCTCCCACGACCTTTCCAGTCTTTCTGGGCTCCCTCCTTCTGTTCCCACAACACCCCTTGACTCAGGGTGCAGGAGAGGCACAAAGTGCATGGAGACACCTGCAGGAGTTAAAAATCTACAAATGGGAGTGAAAAATGGCTGAGAAATAAAAGAAATCCTGGTCCAAAAGTCTTGGCAGGACCCCTTGGAGAGAGAAATGACCAAGGGGAGCTCAGGGTCAAGGTTTGTAAGATCACAAATGGTGTGGAAACAGAAGAGAGAACATCCAGGTGCTCTTTGTTTTCCCCAAATTACTCACAGAATCACGGGATACCTTGAGTTGGGAGGGACCTAAAAGGATCAGCGAGGCCAACTCCTGCCCTGCTCAGGACATCCCAAAAAAATCCCACTGAGGGCTTTTTCCAAGCTTTTCTGCAACTCTGGAAGTCTTGGGACTGTGATTACTTCCCTGGGGACCCTGGGAAGTCTCTTCATAGTTCTCTTCCTTTGCCCACCTGCCTGCAAAATCCTGGGAAGCTGGACCCATTCCCAACCCCTGTTACGAGTTTTTTGCTCCTAATCATTTTTCCATTGCCCAATTCCTCCTTTTTTTGCAGCAGCAGCTTCAACCCTCAGTGATTCTGTCTCAGTGTCCAGAGGGTGGAGAGGATGAGCCCCCAGTTTTCCAAGTTTTCCATTTTGTTCTCTGGTCTGACCTTGAGCAACAATCTTGAACTATTTCATCCTTTAGGGAGGATGAGAAAGGCCCACGTGACACATAATGCAGCAACAATATTTCAGAAATAATCTGGGGAAAAAAACATTCTCTCTGAGCAAGATTCCTTATAAATACAGGCATGAAAAACATCAGGCAGGAAACGGGATCTGCTGGAGCAGGGAGGGAAAAAAACAGGTATTCATCCACATGTTTGTTTAATGTATAACACCAGGGTTGTTTCAGGCAGGTGGAAAAATGGAAAATGAGACTTCCTTCCCTTCCACCCCATCAAAAATCCCAAAATGAAAATGAATTATTGCCCCAAATCCAGCTCATCTTGAAGCCAATTGAGCAGAAAAATGCAGCTCCTCAGCAGGAAGAGGGAACAAAGCTTGAACACAGCCCACAAGAAGAAAGAAGAAAAGCTTTGGAATTAAAACAAATAAATGAGCAGTAAATAAATGAGGCTGTTAAAGCAAAGTGCAGCTGAATAGAAAAAAACGTCAAGTGAGAAATGGGCTGTGGGAAGTGAGAATGTGAGAAAGCTTTTAAATAGATTAGAGAGAGGGGAGGTTAATAATAATAATAATAATAAACAAGATTAATATTTCAGACAGAAGGGGAAAGAGAGAAGGAAGGAGTGGAGAAATATTGGTGCAAAGCAAAATAATTCAAGGCAAACACACAAAGCTTGGGGGGAAATAATTAAGGACAGGCAGAGTGAGGGAAAGGAATAAGATGGGATGGGAGGGATGTCCCTCCTATATGGAAAATGTACATTTTCTTATGACAGCCCCTGTTCAGGTGCTAAAAACAGCCCTTCAAGGGGCTGGGAAGCTGCAGGATGCCCCAAATCCCATCTTAACCAACTATTGGGGGCTTCTGGGCGACCTGGATGGGGAAAGCATCCAGGGCATCACCTGACCCCTGTCCCTGTGTCCCTGGAGGAGGCTGCCAAGGCTTTGGGAGGCATCCCAGGCTCTGGCCAGGTCCCAAATCCCTTCTATTCTTGGGCCCTGTTGGCATTGCAGTCACGCCCAGGGCCACTGCAAGGGCTCGGGGCTCCAACCAGCACCAGGGCTCTGGAGGGATTCTGCCTTTGGAAGCATAATCCGGTTTTTTTCCAAGCAAGGAGTGAAGAGAGCTGGAAGAAAATCCAGGGCAAAGACAACTGAGGGAGTGGGAGTGCAGATGGTGCCAGGAGAACACAGCGGGGAGGTGTTAAAACCATTTCCCAGGGACATGAAAAAAGCAGGGTGAGGGGAGGGCAGCAGGGTGAGCCTTGCAGCAGAAACTGGGCCAGGTGGGTGTCACCCCGTGGGTGTCACAAAGGGAATTAAACAGTTAACAGGGCCTGGAAGTTTTAGGAAAAAGAAACTTTCACCCACTTGGGGCTTGGCAGCCACAGAGGGTGTTTGTGCCAGACTTTGGGAATGCCTTGTGCAAGGCCAGGCCTTTTTCTATAACTGGAGTCAGACAAAGCGTGGTTTCAACCCGGGATGGAGGGATGGGATGGAGCCAGATCCAGGGATGTTTAAATGTCAGTGCTTCCCACTTTCTCCCCTTTTTTTCTGTCTGGAGGGTGGCTCCAGTCTCAGCTCCCCTCAATGGCGTAGGGAGGAATCTCTGTCTCAGCTCAGGCTGGTGAAGTGCAGCCTCAAGAGGGAAAAGAGAGGCCATGGATGAGGTGGGAATGTGGAGGACATGGATGGTGCTCCCCGTGTCCCTGAGTCACACAGATGGTGCAAGAGGTGCAGCCTGACTCCAGACAACGCCAGGCTGAACTGGTTGTGTGCTCTCCTCCTTGCTTGGAGGGTCAGGGAAGGCTGGGTTGCTTCATCTGGACCTGCAATGGCATCAGGGTTTGGTGAAGAAGCAGAAGGGGGAGGATGTGGGATTCAGAAACACATGGAAGAAAATGAAAAGCCGAGTGTGACATTTTGCCTTTTCCACTTAGGCCTGTTGCAGGCAGCCTGCTCTGTTCCTTTCCCAAAGCACATCTGGCACAGCTGTTCTGAGAGGCTCCAAACAACAGGACACAGCTCCTCAGGTCATTCCCATGGCTGGGAAGGACAGGAGTAGCCCAAATCCACCACGTGTGGATGAAATACCAGGGTGGCTTCAAGGCCAGCTTGGAGGGAGCTTGGAGCACCATGAGGCAGTGGGAGACACCCCTGGCCACAGCTGGGGCTGGAATGAGATCAACTTTAAGATCCAGACCAAGCCACTCCATGATTCTGTGACATCCAACTCAGCACCAGGAGCCTTCTTGTTGATCTCAAGAGTTGAGGAACTTGAGTCCTTTGGGTCTGCAGCCAACAGGGAACCGAAGCCACTTCGTCACATTCCCTCTGCCTCCAAAATCCTGAGGGATATTTCAGCCCCATCAGCTTGGAGTGACATCAAACAGCTCAGAGTCAACCTCCATGATTCACAGCCCCAGCAAAATCCCTGATGGAAAGGCCAGATCCAGATTCTGTCATCACACAGGGCACCAACGCCACCCAAGCCATTGGGCCACCAGCATGGCTTGGGCACACCCCAACCTGGACCTGGCATGGGGCTGCTCCTTGGGAGCCACTTGGATGTAACCACCCCATTTTGTGGAGGAAAGGGAGTTATGGATGTGAATCACCCCCCTTGGAGCCAGGGACAAGGTTTGTTGTTCGGTGGTGGCATCTCCACAGCCAGGAATGGGAATGCTGGAGACCTGAGGGGAAAAGGGCAATGAAGAGGGTGGTTTGGAATAGGAGGAAAAGAAGGAAAGAGAGGGGGGGAAAAAAAAATCCAGCATTCTCTGCGAATTTCCCAAAAATAATTAATCCCACTGGCTGCAACTGCATTTGGGAAGAAATAACCCCTGACAAATCCTACATCTGCATTGTTTTGTCACTGAAAGTGGGAATTTCCCCTAGTCCGAGTTCCAACCCTCCTGATCTTGTTTCATAACACGAGGAGTCAAATGCAGGAGCTAAAATGGGATTGTCCCCTGCACCACATGACCCCACAGGCCCTGACAAGCTCTGAGCCCTCTTTGTAAACCTTGGCCTGTGATAAGAATCTCTACCATGACAAGACAAATATTTACAAAAAAGACAACCAAAATCTTTTCCATAGAATATTTTGGCCAGGGTTTGAGGAAGACAAGCTGACATGTTTGTCTTCACACCCCTGTGAGCACCGTGGGGGTTCTGTGTTTGCTTTGTGAGGGTTTTTAAATTGAACTTGAAGATCCAGGGTGATGAAGGGAGCTGTCACTGAAACCTGCCAGGCCGGTGTGACATGGCTGTGGTGGCACTTTGAGGCCATCCCCAGGTGTCCAAGACAGCTTCAGTCTACTGCATTTTGGGTCATCTTCCACAAGAACCAACATTTCCCATGTCTGCCCATTTTAAAGTGCTTTGGGTTCTTCTTTTGGACTCATCTCTTCCATGATGGTCCCAGGCATGGAAGGGATCCTCTGCACTGGAGCCAAGAGCTGGAATTTCCCAGGTTAGGTGAAAGCTGGGAATCAAATGAGATAAATAATTTTATTTTTACCTGTGGAAAAATGTG